CTTTTTGTGTCCCTTTTACCTCACCATAACATCCGTAATTAATCTTGACCTACACCAGATACCATGACTGAGGCATGAGTAGGGTTCATGCATTATGCAAAATACCACAATTATAACGTTTCATACTCGAAAACCGATAAATCAACCCGAAAAATGAAGCTTCACATTGCATATCAGTAGCACAGTTTCGAAGGGAACATCCGGGTATTTCTCGAAGTTGTGCCCTCCTTAGTAATGGCGGACCGCGCTCCATGCGCGCACAGAGCTTTGAACGGGCGCGTATGACGAGTCCGCACTCTAGCCTTATTAAGTATATATCTCTATGGTATGATCGAATCTCTTTGCAAACAGAGACAAATAGCGCCCTCTACGTTAATCATTCGGGAATTGGCAGCCAGCGGTTAGAGAATAAACTAGAAAACATATACGAGGAAAGGCTTTTAGTTTCAAGAATAGTTCTTTATTGTAAGGAATAATAAGGGATTTTGAAAGAGTCAAAGTAATTTTCAAGGAAATCTTTTTTTTAAATTAAGGAAATTGAAGAAAAAATCAACAACAAAAAACGGAAATTCAAGGAAATAATGAAAAAAAAAATTATCATTAAGTGTCAGTTACCAATGCTTTCCCTCTGAGTTGCGTATACATTTGCTCGAAATATGTAAAGTTTAAGTTGATATTCTGGTGCGACAAAAAGTGTATGACGATAGCCTCCGCATCAAATCATGGAAGGAAAATGACTAAAATGCCACGTGGTAGGGGCTCTTTTGAAAATTTAAGACAATTCCGTCAAATTCGTGTTCTATTTCAAAACACTTAACCCGTTGACTGCTGGATTGTAAAGGTCCAATAAGCTTAACACAGGGATCACCAGGTTCCCGTAAGCAAAGGGTTAATTGTGACGATTAAAAACACAGATCCGATGACAAAATAAAGCCTATTCTATAGACTGGAAAGACCATAAAACGTTGTTTGAGGGATAGAGTAGGCCTGATATTAAAAATTGAATCTTCTTCTGACGAGAAAATAACACAAACAAACTTGCGGCAATCGCCTCCAGCCCTCTGGTGTTCAGAGTCATGAAAACAGCCTCAAAATCAGAAAAGAAAAAAAAAAGCCGCAACCCCCCCCCCCCCCCACCAATAACAACAAATAAACAAACAAAAACACTACCACCTGACCAACAATGTCAACAACTTCAACAAAAGTTGGAATATATTTGATATGCCGATGATACCAGTGTCTTTTTATCCGATAACAATATTGAAAATTTGATTCATGATTTAAATTATTGAAAATAAATTCATGGTTTATCTCTAATAAATTAATTGTAAATACTACAAATACTCACTATACGATCTTTTCTAATATGTCTATCGATCGTGACACGTTGGTTATTTCCTTAAATGATAATGTAATTAATCGTTGTAGCTCCCTGAAATTTTTAGGTGTAACAATTGACAGTAAATTATCTTGGAAGGAGCACATTGATGTTATCTGCACGAATATTTCTAAAGGTATAGGTATTTTAAATAAAATTAAACATTTTCCTTCAAATATTTTGATTATGATTTATAATGCCATTATATCTCCTTATTTTAATTATTGTGATCAATAGAAATCAATATTTTTTAAAGGGCTTGTGGAATAATATACCTCAAGATAGAAAATCTAGTCCATCAATTAACGTTTTTAAAAGGAGATATAAATCATTTTTAATCCAACAAAATAAATAAAGATTGATTATGTACACGGTCTGGGTTTTTTGTTCTTTTGTCCCCCCCCCCCCCCCTTCTATTTAGGCTGTTTTTTGTTTGTTTTGTTTTTTTATCACCTTCTCAAACAACAATACAATACTGTATTATACTTTATTACTGTTTTGGTGGCAGCACCAATAAAGCCTTTGGCTTTCCTAGCTGTCTCCACATTCATATAATTTTTGTTCTTGTATTGTATTGTAAATGTTTCTCTTATAACTTGTACGCTATGTTTTGTATTTTATATGTGTGTTATGATGTTTTTATGATGAATGAAATAAAGTTCAATTCAATTCAACAACAAAACAAGACTGCCACACACTTTCAAAGCCATGATTAGCGTGATTAGTTCTCGAAACCTCTAAGGAAAGAAGAAGAAGAAAAGATAAATTTCCCGGGGGGGGGGGGGAGGGGTAGCTGCTCTGTAACTGACTTTACCGTAACAATTCAGTTTAATATTCTACTTTAAATTTTTTATCATATACAGCATTTAAATACTCCTATCATGTACAACAATACTGTGTGCTTATTACCTCGAGCTGCTAGTTTGAAAAATATGTTTATTTTGCAGTCTCATTCTATTTGCCTTGTGGAAGAACAGCCTGAACAAGGCAATGTCACATACATGACTTGTAATTGCTCTAGAAATACCCTCATATATATGTCAGGGCTCACAAGGCTCTCAAATCTTATTTTATCTTGGAGCCTTGTCAGTTCTGTTTAATTTTTTTTTTTATTTCTCCATGTATGTTTTAAAGTAAAACGATTTTATTATGTATTCAGAACTGATCAAAAAGAGATTTTTTTTTTACATGTTTGTGTATTTGTGATTGTTATTGTTTCCAACAATTTTTATTATTTGTTTGTTTTATCAGCAAGATCTAATCAATTCGTTCATGGTTCAGGGCGCGTTTATCAGGGCTTGCCACTAGATATGTACATGTCGTACCCCACTATCGAACCCCACTACAGGCGCGGATCCAGGATTTTCCAATAGGGGGGGCCGGAAATTTGAAAATCGCGCAAACCATTATTTCAACTCAACATACCAATACTGACAAGGTCATAATTAAGGGCACTGTACCGCGTACCGGTACCTACAAGCGGGTACAATTTTGGAAAGGGGGCAGGCTCACGTCACGTCTCTTGTCCGATATCAACATTCCCCGTTTTAAGTTATGCTCGCGCGCGGTAGCAAAATGTTTGACATTTTCATCGAGGGGGGGGGGGGGCGCGGGGAACTGCAGCCTCTTTGCCCGAATATTAATTTTCTGGTTTCACATTTTGGCGAGCGAGCGAAAATTTGAGCATATGTTTATTGTGAAAGTGTAATTTATTATAACAAAAATATACGAGATAAGATATTTAAAAAAAAAAATGCATATTAGTATTCTTTATATTTTCGGGGAAAGAGAGGCTGCAACCCCATCCCGCATTAACTGCAGGTGTTATGAAATGAAATTTGAATAATTGTGCAGTAAATATATAGAAACAGCTCTTGCTACAACCATGTTTGCAATGAAAACTGCCATTTATTTGGAATTCAAGAACAATTAAACTCCTGTGGTACTATTATTTCATGACTGTCAAAGTATGAAACACTTTCTTCATTGACATATCTTAACACATTTATATTCATGAATGACTTGATCACTCTCGTTAGCTTAACAAAAATACCAACATGCTCATATTAACCCGTATTCCATGTGCATACAATATAAATATAAGTTTCTTTTTTTACAAACCAATAAGAAGCAAAGACGTCGATTCTTTTTCATTGTTAGGGATGAATTATCTTAGTGAAAAACGTTTCATTGTATACAACAGCCCAAATACCATCATAGGCTACTGCGCAAGTACTATGCTGACTGAGGTCCTATATTCAAATCTTATCTCTTTAAAGTGAGAAAACATAATCATGTTTGTACAAATGAAAAGAAAACAAAAGTATCTATCAAACATACTCGTACACTATCACTTCGAAGAATCTGTATATTGATATTAATGTAGGAATCTAAAATAAAGACAAGCATCTATTTCAGTTACCTTCCAGTTGTATTATAATGGAGGATATAGTAAATATTGAAGATTGCGGGGCTAATTAAAAGCTATCCGTGATGACATGTATTGTAGCAGGCGTATATTAGATCTTAAACCGAGTATTTTTCAGCAGTTTGTATTTTCTTTTACTGAAGCAAACTAAGCAAATCTGGACAGGGGTTGCAAGAGTATTATAAACTCAGCAAATAACTCTTGTGTAAAGCCCCGTTTTTACCGTGTCATGTCGAATGGGCATAGGGCATTTGGGAGAAAATGTGTAATCCACGCTGTAATCCTGTATAATTGCAAATTTAAAGGCCATCAGTATTTGCGACTATGATTTAGGGGGAGAGAGAGAGAGAGAGAGTGGGTTATAAGAGCAGTGAAAATCACACGAGGTTGATTTCGATGGCGGATCTTGCATTCTATAACAAGGAGGCATAACTAGAAGAGGTATTAACGGTTGACGGAATCTGGCAAACAGACAGTGATGGTAAATATAAGTGACATATTTTCGACAGTGTAAATCACAATAAAATAAAAGCCAGTTTTGCTCCGAGAAAGAAACAAGGTTGACTGCACGGCACTGTCTTTGTCACACAATTTCAATGCAAGTGCCTCAAATACATGTAATTAGTTCATTAATCAAAGAAGATAAAAAGGTACATGTACAATAAACTCAGGTGTGCTCAGTCCAGTACATCACAATTATTAACATGGTCGGATAACATTTGCCACGATCAATTCACGTACAGTTCCTCATGTTCTGCGCTAATACGATTGTGATCCGTATGGACGTCGTTCACGTTAAAGTTAATGACGCTCGAATGTTCAGAAGTTATAATATATCCACCTAACCATATTTTGGCGGAAATAGGATTGTGAAACCCTGGATTGAGCGACACTGAGTATTAACATTCAGCTTCAGCAACCCCGTACATTATATTGTCCATATATAACTTTGAGTTTGGCAAGTTCAGAGAAAAAATCCTGACGAAATGCAAAAGGTTCTGAATTTGTATAACAGCACTTCAACTGTCTTCCTGCTGTCATCCGATTTCCCTTTAAAGATGCCGGAAAGTCATCTTTCGAGGATGACGGTTTGCAAAAACGTCTACTATCTTTCCGTAGTCAAGCTGGATGTCCTTGTGGATGAAGAGAAGTAGGAGCGCATTTAACCTATCTTCCCCCATCATGCTTCGGGAATTAGATTTCACAAATCTCAGGGCTGAGTTGCTGCGTTCCACACTTGCACTGGTTACTGGAGTGATCAGCAGCATTTTCAACATCGTCACTACATTTGGAAATGACGAGTAGTTGGTGGTTTGAAGACATTCCACTAGTGTTGTCGGAAGTGGACCATCTTCTACTGCGAAGGTGCTCCTGTAAAAGCGTACGAAATTGATTTCCTTTTATAAGAGTAGTGTATGACTAATAAATTATACAATATTAGCCTTTGTATAGTCTACAATTTTAACGAAATTTGTAGTTCAATAAAATAGAACGCCGTATCGCTCTTTGTTCTGATGATAAATAATGATCCATTTCGAGTCATTTTATATTAAGACATTATGAAAGTTCTTTGGTTCTTATACCGTGAAATACAGTGAAAAATACAGGCAACTTTAGCTATCTCTTTAAAACACGTAAATAAGTGTAAGAAGTACGATAATGGTGTGTAGCCCAATTTAATTTCCCCACAGCTGTCTTCCCATTTTTGGTTTTTGAAAGGTTGAAAAGATGTCTCTTTCGGGGATCGAATCCGAGACTTAGGATTAGAACGCTAATGCTCTGGGGAACTTTGAATTGAGCTACGCACCATTATCTAAATTGTCACAATATATTGAGATGGTATATATCCTTTTACTGTTATTTTTTGGTTTATGGGATGAAATGCATAGTGAGAAGAGGATTCAACCAAGAGATGACGCAGGAAAACCTGGTTATAGCTTAAGAGCTTTCGTCCGTCTGGACTTCTTCAGATGAGGTTGTCATGCGTCATCTCGTGGATGAATCCTCTTTTCACTATATATATATATATATATAATATATTACCCTAAAGCAACACTTACCAGTGACGTCTCCATAGCTGTAATTCCTGTGGTGCAACTTTGGGGAATGGCAAATCTGGCTCATAGAAAGCAAGCAGTCTTTCTTGCACGTCGCTTGTAAGTTTCTGTACCATGTTAGGCATTAACATGATCCCTTGCAGTGCATGTGCTGACAGTCCTTCAAACCTGTCTCCTAGTTGTTGTAATAAACTGTCAAGGAAAGGTACAAACACTGTTCGTCGGTAAAACGTGCTTGGCTTTTTCCCGGATGTGTTACTGCGTAGGGTCTGTTTGGCGCATGTACGAGGTACTGAAATGCTGACACCTGCTGCATTGGACATACTTGTAGCCTTTCCCCATACATATCCGAATGTCCTTTTGGAGTTCTGTCGTACGGCAGATAACTCATCTTTGATATGTTTGACTTTGTTATAAGCTTGGATGACGTCAAGTTCGCTCCCTTGCAGGTTTTGACTCAATGAAAAGGTGAAACCAAAGAGATAAAGAGCTGATTGGAACGAGGCAATGAATGTTGAACTTGTAATTTGATGGAGTAACCCACTTGCCTCTACCGTGGTATTGCTCCATCTTCTGTCCTCATTTCGTGAGATCCTTTCCAAGCAGTGAATGAGAGGTTCGTATAGGTCCTCAAAGTCCATTAGAGCAGTGTGCCTCTCCACCCACCTCGTCTCACAAATGGGTTTTATCTTCTTTTTGGATAGTGGATTGCTCTTAACTTCACGAGGATGTGGTGGTACATAGTCCTCTGTGGTCTGGCCGTCACCTTCTGAGTCATCATCATCATCACCATCATCATCGCTTTCCTCTTCTACGACGGTACATGCGGGAGCGGCTGGGTTGTTACCTCCTTCACCATCTTTGTTGCTGTTATCGGGTCTCTCCTCTTCGCATGACGCCCTTTTGTCGATGATAGCTACGATACTTTCTTCAAAAGCCCTTTGGCGCTTTGGTGAGTTCCTGAAGAAGTAACCGAGCGATCGGAGAGTGCAAATCATGTTATGGATTTCGGGCACTTTACATGCATAACATAGGGCGAGATTTAACCCATGACTTGCACAGTGGTAGTAAGGGGCCCTTGGAGATGTCTTCATAAACTCTGCTGCGCAGCCATTCCTCACCCCAGCCATATTCCCTGCACCATCATATGTTTGGGCACGGCACAATTCTGGATTTAACCCCAGGTTCCTCAAGCAAGTGACGATATGCTCGCATATTTGCTGTCCTGTGCACGATTCGCACTCGATAAACTCGAGTAGCTTCTCTACCGGCTGATTGTTGTGGAGGTAACGGACAACTAACCCAATTTGCTCCCAGTTGGAAACATCCGTTACCTCATCTGCCGATATTCCGTAGAAGCCACTCGCCTTAACCTGTGCAGTGATGCTGTCCTGTATGTATTGTCGCATGCACTGCAGCAGCTCATTTTGTGTCGTTTTAGAAACATAAGTGGCATTCCGACCACAACTTTTGAGGTGCTCCTTCAGTATATCGTCACCTGCATCAATCCGGAAATCAACGAGAGCCTTAAAGTTGCCTTGGTTCAGAGCTTCCGACGTAGAATCATCCCTATGACCTCTCAGAGCGATGCCTTGATGTCCGCATAGCTCGATGCTTTTGATGATGGAGACTAGGAATTTCCTGTTGCTGGCCACTTGTTCCGCAATTTTACTGGACATGCGACTTGCCAAGTTGAGTGATGGGTTCCTAGTGGTCTCTAAAAAGCCATCCATTGTCATCTTCGATCTGATGTGGTATTCCAATGTAGCATGTTTGCGCAAATTGAATAACGCATCCTTCCAGTTTTGATAAGGTGTATTTATCAGGTTATTCGCCCTTTGGCCTCGATGGGCCCTTACAGGGAAAAGAAGACACGCTAAACAAAACAATCCATCTGCCTCCTTTGAGTACGAGAGATATTCATGATGTTGCAGCCATTCTCTTTTACAGTAGCGTTGCTTAAAGCCGCTACTCTCAGATTTGTCTTTGTACCTTTTCCCTGGAAATTTGAAGTTGATTTCAGGCATCCGGTTTTGAATGTGCCATAGTTTTGTTTCGTCATTCACTCTAGACTTTTTCAATGTGCTGATATCGTGGTTGATGTGCTGACTTGTCATTTTCTGTGGTTCAGTTTCTCCGTCAGGTAAGACCGTTTTTTTTCTGGCGTTGTCCTCTTCAGTCCTGGCCTCGCTTTCCGTGTCACTAGTATTCCTCTCAACATCTGGGATTTCATGACCTGTGCTGTACTTGGAACCAGTGCCCAGTGTGCTATCGGGACTACTACTCATTCTGTCAAATTCGCCTCCATCCTCTCCAAGAACCTCTTCCTTTTCCTTCGAAATGTTTTCGTGGTTGATGGGCTGACTTGTCATTTTCTGTGGTTCGGTTTCTCCGTCAGGTAAGACCGTTTTTTTTCTGGCGTTGTCCTCTTCAGTCCTGGCCTCGCTTTCCGTGTCACTAGTATTCCTCTCAACATCTGGGATTTCATGACCTGTGCTGTACTTGGAACCAGTGCCCAGTGTGCTATCGGGACTACTACTCATTCTGTCAAATTCGCCTCCGTCCTCTCCAAGAACCTCTTCCTCTTCCTTCGATCTTTCTCCTTGAAACGCACTTTCATGTTCGGAACCTTTCTCGATCACTTCGTCGTCGAACCCTGCTGCAGATATATCCTCCTCAATGCGTTCTTGATCGGTAGGGTATGGAATGTGTCTACCCTTTCCGATTGTATCACTTTCTTTATCTCCCAAACTAGTTGACACGTACGCCGAACAAACTTGAATCCCACATGTACTGCAAAGTGTAACAGACGCGCTGTCGGAGTTCCGCTTGGTGTTGCCATGGTCACAAGTTTTACTTGTTGGGTGTGGTTCTATTAACAAAACAAAAAAAAAAAGAACGCCGGATTATTAAGGATGTGATTTGGCATTTTGTTATTTGTGATTGATAGCGTTTACTTATCGCTTTATGATTCAAACCAAAACCTAAATAATAATGTGTGTGACACAAATAGAGTTAAAATTCATTTTGAATGAAGAGCTATTGACATTCATTTATAGAAGGCAACTCAATATGTTATGAGTTCATTTAAATCTCCCCCGCCCCACCACTCAGTACATCTTAATAAATCATTCACATCATCTTAAATCAAGGAAAAGGAAGGGCTATTGTAAAAGCGCGAGGCAACAACGCAAATAACTGATATTGTTAATATCAAATAAAACTTTGGAGTGGATTGTAATAAACTTTCATTAGCTTATCAAATCGACTCGGAATGGGATATACTTGAAATTGTGATTCGCTATAAGGCCTATTATCGCATTAAACTAACTAGCTAAATTGGACACAATGGCTGGTATTCATTAAGGTATACTAACTTTAGTCCATGATCTAAGCAACATAAAATAATAAGATTAATTAATCGCTTATATCACGCTTAATTTTAGTTCACTATGTGTGCCTTTTAATGATTTTTTTTATGAATACCGGCCATTGAGCATAATGATCTTTGTAAGTTAATCAAGGCAGTAATGAGTAATAATATTTTATTAAGTCGAAGTTTCTTCTTGTCAGAGGCAATTAATGATTGCAGAAAAGCTGAAGTTAAAGTTATTTTTTCCCAAAGTATGCTCTCCCGTGACATAGGGAGCGCATGGCACCTGCACAAATGAATAAAGTTATAAGCTGGTAATTACCTAGACTGATGTAGTGATTCTCGTACTGGTGTCCGAGGTACAACCTGGGCCTGTTGCAGGAATCCTCCACAAGGTACTCATTCATTACACTGGAAAGTTCCCCATCTCTGGAACTTGTCACTATATTCAATGAGACGTTGAATAACCTGGCGGTTGCAATGATTTCCGGTTCACCAGCCCAAGTCCCACTTCTTTTCATTCTAGCTATATACTCGGGATTCGCGGTGTCTTTCAAAGGATCATCCGGTGTCTGCAGAGAAATAATAAATTATTTATTGAGTCATTTATGATTATAGCAAGTATAGACGATGTCTGAATGAAAAGCTTTAATATCTGATAATCAGGGCAGCGCCAGGAGCGCCACAACGTGGCGGACATGTACGCTATAATTTTATAAGAAGCCATTATTGTTATTATTATTCGCTTTCCGCTGCACCGAAAAATATAAGTGAATTCATGTTTTTACGTAAAAAATGAAAAATATTTTATTTAAAAGTGAAATAAAGGTTTAATAAATGTCAGGCATTGTAGTGTCTAAATACAAAAAAAAATCGTTCTGAAAATGTTGCTTCCTATAAAACATAAACATGACGAAAATTTACGAGGCATCATACTTTCTATGAATGTTTATTTTTGCCTTTGAGATTACATGAAATGAAGCGAGTACTAGTGCATCAAACAAATTTCAATATTATGTCAAGTGACAATAAGATAATTTAAATTTAAATTTGAAATTATTTCTTATAAATATCAGAAGCTATGGCAAATTGAAACTATCTTCGTGCTCAACAAGATGAATCTCAAATGTATTCTAAAGCTTCCTTATTCTGTTCTCCATGAGAGGGATGTCTATATGTAAGCGCCTGTCCACATAAGATAAGGTTGCAGTTTTTTTCTGGAGCAGGGGGGGGGGGGGTATTTACAGAACGATATGTGTTTTATGTCAGAGAATAGTCAGCCTATAACCTACCTTTCTAATCTGGTAATTAAACATTAATTTGGAAAGAGTTCCTTTAAAACTGAAAATGGATCGAGTTAGAATACTTTTTGCTCTTTAACTTACCAGTTTTTCCATAAATCCGCAGACCCTTTTCCTGAGTTCTTTGTGATCGAGAATGCCGTGATCTGTCATTCCAACGCGATTCATCTGGTCAGAAATCGTGTGAAAATAACAGTTTCCATCCTTCGCCACGTGTTTCCTAATCTGCAAGCCCGTTTTCTTGCAATTTCTCAGCAAACGCTGATAGCTTCCTTCTTGCGATACCTGGCCTGTGTCGAATAAAACAATGAAACAAACAGTAAAGGCCTACAGACTACAATACTCAACTACATGCAGTATATGACCGGAAAATGAAATATCACCTAAACCTTTTGTAAATGTATATATTTGACCACCCCCCCCCCAAGTAAATAAATAAATAAAATATAAATAACCAAATGAATAAATGAATTAATAAATATATAAATAACAAAAATAATAAGATTGACAAAGAGATTCCCTATGACAAATCAAAATATGTATTTCAAACTTAGAAATCTGGGTTAAGCAAATTGTATTTCTGTGATATTGTTTTTTAAGCTTGCACCCGTTAATTGCGGATGCCCCTCTTATTTCCTGTTAGGAGAAAACTTTTCTACCACCTCAATACTGTGGTTTCCTCACACGAATCGCTTGACGCCGTCTGTTTATTCAGGCGCGGATCCAGGATTTCTTAGGGGGGGGGGGTCCACTTTTTTTGTTTGGTCCCAAAAAAAATCGCAACGACTCAGCAAGCCGCTGAATAAGTGGGGGGGGGGGGGGGGGGAAGAGGACACTTTTTTTTTTGGTCTCGAATTTTGAAAATGTGACATTTTGTTCCGTTGGGGGGGGGGGGTGAGGTCCAAAATACACACATAACAAAAAATAGAAGGGGGGATTCAACCCCCCCCCCCCCCTCTGCGTACGCGCCTGCTCGTCTGAATACAGTTTTCCCCCTCCCGCGGGAAGCGCGGAAGCTTTTACGTTTCATTAAATCATTAGAGAAAGAAGACGATTCGTTGTACCGTTTTTTACTCTTAATCCTTGTCTAAATTCACCCCCCCCTCCCGCGCAAAGCTCGAAAGCTTTTACGTTTCATCAAATCATTAGAGAAAGAAGACGATTCGTTGTACCGTTCTCGAACATGATCCTCGTCTGAATTCAGTTCCCCCCCCCCCCCCCCCATCCGTGCGCGCGAAGCGCGGAAGCTTTTACGTTTTATTAAATCATTAGAGAAAGAAGACGATGCGTTGTACCGTTCTTGACTCTTAATACTTGTCTAATTTCAGTTACCCCACCTCCTGCGCGAAGCGCGGAAGCTTTGACATTTAATTTAATTATTAGAGAAACAAGACGATTCGTTCTACGGTTTTCTACTCTTAATCCTTGTCTGAATTTCAAAAATGTATTTTTTGTCTGCTCCTTTTTCTTCATACGTCCTCTTCCTTTTCTCTCCTCTCTCTTTTTTTTTTTTTGGGGGGGGGGGCGCCCCCACTGCCCCCTGGCTACGCGCCTGCGGTCAGATGAACATCTTTAATACCTTGTCTGCCCCCGTAAACTCATGGGTTGAAGGCAAATTACGGTCAGATAAGCATTCAGGGGCCCGCCTCACTGGCCCCTGGTGGGGTCGAGGATGCGGAAACTTATGTCATTTCAACATTATGTGTAAACTACCGTTACGGAATTAGAAATAAACCACGTTTAAATTTTATTTCCCCCGAGATCCCTCCCCGATCAATACGCTAGTGCCCCCCCCCCCCCCCGATCTACACTTTGTTGGTGGAAAATCGCAACTTATCTCCCCTACCTTTCTTCTTTCTCTTTTTTTCTTTCCCTTTCTCTTCTCTTTCCCTTTCCCTTCCCTTCCTTCTCTATCTTTTAGGTTTGATGGGGAGGGGAAGCAAGGTCATTTTAGCCCCCACCCTTCTCCACACGTTGTTGGAGGGATTAACTGCAAATTATCTATTTCTCCCTTCTTTTCACCTTTTTTTTCGGTCCCTTTTAGCTCTCTTTTTTTCCCTTACCTTCTTTCTCTCTTTTTTTTAGCGGGCGGGGGGGGGGGGGGGGGGGAGGCAGGGGGCATTTTGCCCAACCCCCACCCCAATCCACAACTTGTTGGCGGAAAAATTGCAACTGATACCCCCTTCTTTCGATTTCCTTCCTTCTCTCTTATTTTTTTTTTGATTGGGGGAGGGGGGAGGCGACAGCCTGGGAGGTGAAGCTCTTTCGCCCCCGCCCCCGATCACTTCTTCCCCCTTTTCTTTTCTTCTTCCTCTTCTTTCTTTCCCTTTCTCTCCTCTTTCCCTTCTTTTCCTTCTCTCTCTCTCTCTCTCTCTCCTTTTTTCCCTTCTTTTTTTTCCCTCCTTTTTTTTTTTTCCTTCTTTTTTCCCCCTTTTTTTCCCCTTTTTTTCCTTTCCCCCTTTTTTTTCTTCTTTTTTTTCCCGGGGAGGGGGGGAGGGCCGGGCCCCCCTCCCCCTGGATGCGCCACTGTGTTTATTACACGACTATCTGTAACACGGGCTAGCCTTACTAACATTTTATCATTCTTGACGAATTATTGACGTTTGTTTATTGTAAGTAAGTAAAATTCCACACAGCTGAAGAAAGAGACAAACGCACAAACTAAACTTATCAATCTTACCTGCACGTCTGCCGTCATTTCGCAAGGAGGTGTCATCACGTTTCGGCTTCTTATTCAACCAGTCTCCTAATTTCGTTTGAGATGTCTTGGGCCTACAGTCCTGCCATAGTATATGAAAAACAAAGAGTCACGTACAAATTATGACATTATTTAGAACTTACTTTAAAGCTAATGAATCCAATAATTTCCGTAATATATTCACTTTAAAACAAACTTAAAAGTGCATTAACAACGGAGAAAAAAATGTATGATATTATGATCCGTGTATCATGCTTCGCAACAAGTATATTTCTAGCTTACAATTAAATTATGGGTAACTACTGAGATAAACTACACCTCAAATATTTAAATCTATACATTGTTGTAGACGTAATCAGGATATGATTGCACACCATGAGTAGAGCAACTACTCCTAACCTGGTTCTCCTTATTCATTCAGCAAATTTGTACGTTTTTAAACTATTTCGGTAAATGAATATAAGACGGCCTTTTGTTATCATCTAGAATATAAGTATCTGACCAAATATGTAAACTAGTCTACGACATGACTCATATTAGTGGAGCTAGGTCTATTAACAGTTCATTTGTGTTTTATTACAACGTGAGATGATATGTTACCACATCCTCCTACCAGTCGGGGGCCTGATAATTCGCAATTCAAATAGGTCTAAAGTAAGTAAGATCGTACTGGACCCACACTATACGCCACTGAGTATAATCATAGTCACACACACTAGGTTGCCATCATTTTAATCCGACTACGAAGTGTGTTTTTTGCCAGGGTTCAGGGGGGGGGGGGGTAGATTTACCGACAAGTTTTTCCAACAAGCCAAAACAAAACAAAAGGTCCTCCTTTTTTGCGATTTGCCGACGAGGCTGGAGAAATTCCCAATTTCAATCAATTTGTTGATAAAACTACCAAAAGCGGTGATTTATTGTCACGACGGTGGGGGTTGCGGAATGCGGGTTTCGTGGGGAGGGGGGTGGGGGTGCAGAATGCTAAAATTATGCACTCTAAATGTAGAACACCCGAGAGCATAGATACGGTCTTTCTTCGATATTTCTTCGCTATGTTTTTCAAGTTTCCGGGGGACGATCCACCGGCCCCTACCGGTAAAATTATCCGACCATTGCCAGATACCTATTTAGCCCCTGGCTCGAAAGAGACAAAGTCATGGGTAGAATATCTTGTCCAAAGATGTAACTGATCACAGACTGAGTATGCAGGGATGGAACCCTAGAGAGACTTTTTAGAATATATAGTTATAGTAACTTAGTAAATAGCGAACAGTTAGTGAACGATGAATAATACACATGGCCAGATGAGCAGGTTCAGATCAGATGAACACTCTCTTGTATAGGCGTTTCGCATGTGTACATCATTTTGCGCATGCTCGGACCATGCTTGGTCAAGCACATCGCACCCGGGGCTTTCCTCCCAACATGCCCAGGCCAGCCGCCAGCATGAAACAGCTGACTCCGGACCCATATTGACCTGCACACTTTCTTCACTTTTATTCATCTCATAATCAATGGTTTATGATAAATGTTAATTCACTAAGTAGGTTTTGTATAAATATTAACCTTTTTTCTTTTCAATGGTGGCTTCGGCATCGTTGAGCATCCGTCTCGTGACTTGTCATAGATTGTCGAAGGTGATGATATGCAGGATGTCGTCTACTGGACATGGGGTCTCGTGTTATCATAAACATGGATGATGCTAAACATTCAAGAATGTGCAGCGAATGAGGAGCTGAGGGATGGTCAAGAAGATGCGTTTGGCTCAGTCGGTAACGCGTCTGTCTGTCGAACTAAAGAACGTGGGTTCGAATCCAGCTCTATTCCAGGCGGGTGACTGATATCTCCCGGGCCTAAGCCTTCGTTTTGTATCAAAAGTTGTGAAGCGGCCCCTCTACCGTTTATTAAAATTTGACTGTTAAGTATATAGCTGATAAAAACATCAAAAATAATGTGCCCTTTTCAAATTTCTCACCAAAGAGTGGTGACCTTTGTAGCGCAGTGGCAGTTTTTAACCTTTTACTTCGAATCCGCGGCTCGGGATTTTATGCGGCCGACCCCTATATTCAATAACGTCTCCCAAGCCTTCCGATCTGATGACCCCCAAAAATTCATTTCTGCTCCTCTTTGTAGGGGCCGGGCGCGACTTTATCATGAGCTCTTTTACATGAACCCTTTTTTAATAAATATATTATACTGGATTCAGACCCCGGCCCCTCCCCACTCCGGGGTCGGAATGACCGCATGCGTGTTACCAAAATGTCCGGTAAAGGGATACTTTTCGTGCGACAAAGTCCGGCCCGGAATTGTAAAAAAAGGGGTGTATTTGACTTTTCACCCGGAGATTTCTTTGAAAAGGGGGTGTTTTTTTTCTTCTCATCTCTTTTGGCTCCTAGGAAATTATTCCGAATTTAGGGGGGTACATTCATTGAGCATTTTCCCGTATTTAGGGGGGTCTCTAAGGCAGGAA